ATTGGTGTACTATTGATTTGACTATGCATGCAAGAATTTATGCAAGAAGGTAAATAGGTAGATATAGATGTGGAGCATAAAACTTTTTATGTTATTGTGTTCTTATGTCTATCTCAATCCATGTCAATCCATGCTATTTGCAGTTGTTGAACCAAATTGTATGTGAATTTCCTCCAGAACACCCTTTATCCAATTCCAGGCCTCTGCGTGATTCACTTGGGCATACTCCGCTTCAGGTTCATTAACATTATGCTCTAAATGCTTATATCTTAATTTCTTTAAGGTTGTAATTTTTTAATTTTCTTTTTCATTGAAATTGTAATATTGTACACAGTTACAAGAAAAAACCCTTTTTGTTGCAAACTTTCAACTTGATTATACATATGTACGATAGTTAATAGACATAAAATGTTGATGTAAGCTCTGAAGAAATTGAGTTGGGATTTAAAATAAGGGTCATGACAAGATATATATGAGTTTGTGCTGTAGTAAAATCTGATGATATTGTGATGGGAATTCAGAATGTTTATTATCATGTTTGGTCTACTAAAAAAAGTAACAAAAAATACATTGTAAAAGGTATGTCATTCACCATTGTAAGGAATGCTTATTCTATATGGGAACTAAAGAATGATCATTTCTTTATTCTATTGAACCAAAGACTACCTAAGAATCCAAAATACGCCTCTGACAAAGGTTTTGACTGCTAAAACCTTCTGTGTTACTCTCCTATAGAAATTTCGTCTTCCAAGTGTGGAAGAAATTTAAAGTTCTTACGTTATCATAGAAAAAAAGTAGGTACTACTTTTGGAAAATATGCTGTATCCTCCATTCTACACTTCTTGCCACTGTTGTTCATGTCATTGTTATTTTCCATTTAGAAATAGCTAAGCAGTTGGTTGGTTCACCATTCTTTTTTCCACATTGATAGTTTTAGATTTATTATAAATGCTGTCCTTGAAATGATTTCCATAAAATTAGATGGAGCACAATGCTGTGCTTGATTTCGAATCCTAGGAAAAGGAAACTTTAAATATCATCATTAACTCTCAAATCTCAACCTATTATTAGGTTCCAGAGTTATTATTTATTTTTGCATGTTGCTTGGAAAACATATTAACCACAAGCTTACTGTATCTTCTTCACTTGCAATTTGCCACAAAATACAGTTGTTAGTGGCTCTCAGTGTGTTGGTCTTTCTTTGTTTTCCATTTTCAAAAGGGGAGGAACATGACCAAAGAAGAAAAAAAAATGAAAATCATCCTCAAAATGGCTTATTGAGCTTTCATTATATTTTTCCCCTTAATAAAACATAAATAAATAAAAAAACTAAGTTTAGCAGCAATTTTTATTTAATATATAATTTTAAATTAACAACACTAAAAAAATAATTTATAAATGTTCAAAAGACTATTTTACCATTTTTTAATTGTTTTCTAAGTAATAACATGGAGGGTAAAATGGACATTTCACAAAATAATCTCATGGGATACCAATCCCATGGTTTCTATCCCATCTCCCCCCATGGGATAGGATATAATTTGTGGGACTAATAGTCCAGAGGGACGATTAGTCCGGAGCAAAATTTTTCAAACAAACAATAGAGTATTAGTCCGGTGAGACTAATAGTCCAATCCCATACCCTTATCCCTCAAAACAAACATGCTCATAGGTGTACTCTGATGGTTGTGTGAGATGACCTTTATGTCCTGAATAGTGGCCCTGTTTGGTAGGGCTTATTTCCAGCTTATTTCAGTTTTTAGCTTAATTTAAGTTATTTTGATGTGTTTGGTTCAGCTTAATAAAACAGCTTATAGCTTTTTGTAAGTCAAAAATCAACTTATTCTTTGAGTGGGGGAGGAGAAGCTTAATTTATAAGTCAAAAATCAGCTTATGTTCACAGTTATAAGTTATAAACTGTAAAGTTATAAGCTATAATCACTTTCCTACAATTCTATCAAACGGGGTCAATGTAGGTGTTGTGAATTGAAATGCTTTATGTGGGAGGTTATTCTTGGAAATTAGTACTCTTATTTTTTTTATCTTTTGAACGAATAAAATATTATGAATGTTGTTATTAGCACTCCATTAATTATTTTAGATCTCTCATTTTTTTGAGCTCTCACTTACAAATTTTAAAATTCTAATTTTTTTTCTCCCCCCTAAATAATATCAAAATTAACCTTGTCAAAACATTTCACACCTTCAATTGAATGCACCCCTTACACCCCAAAAAGTCTCTCTCTCAAAAATCCCAACAAAATCCAGAAAGATAATTATTATTTCATCTCCACATACTTGTTTATGATTTGAGAAAATAAATATAGGGTTTTTTTTGTTGTTGATTCAAAATTCTCATTTTGTGAGTTTTGCGATCTCCACAAGTTTGGATTATTTGTTCCGGAATAAATAAGAAATGTTTGATTACCCGTTCCCGAACAAATGAAATGTTCGGGTCTGTGTTTCCGAATTTCGGTCATATGTTCAAGAGTTCAGTCCCAAAAAAATGATAAAGAGTTTTTATTATTTTTGCCATTTTTTTCAAAAAACTTACCTTTACAAGGCCAAACTCTTCTGAATTAAGAATATCATCAAAGCTATGAACCTCCTCTGAATTTTTATTATTGTACTCCTCCTGTCTCATAGAGTTGTGGTTGTTAGAAAAACTTCCACTCATTGTCATTGTCGGAAAAGTGTAGGTAATCAAATGGTTGTCACATCTACCGCCGGAATATTGTTGCCAAAGGGTTTTCAAAGTTTTGAAGGTGAAATTTGAGAAAGATGGATAGATGGTGATGGAGGTGGGTGCTCTCATAAACTCTAACTCATGATGTAGTGGGTATATAGGCTTAATTGTGAGATGTAGTATTCCAAAATTATTTATGTTCTTTTTAGTAATTTCATTTGAGATTATTATTATAAAAAAAAAATAGTTAAAAATGGAAGGTTTAAAATAATTGATGGGGTATTAATAGTAACACTCAAATATTATATATCAAGATTGAGAAGCATTTACATTAAAGGATAGAAAAGCAACTAATTATAAGTAGGAGTGCTGACGATGCGGTGTGGTTCGGGTGATTTGAAAGTAAAATTATAAATTGAATGATGAATTAGTTGATTGACAGATTAGCAAATAATAGTTTTAGGCGGATTGACAAATTAAAGAATATTCTAACAAATTATTAAGCATTTGCATAATATATAATACTAATTTGTATAATATCATATGTTATTACTCAGATAATGCTACATTTTTCCTTTAAATTAGCCAATTTCAATAATAATAAACATCAAAAGTATTTAGGGAGGAATAAACTACAATGTCCTCTCTCGTGTACAAGTAATGAAATACAATACATGTCCACAAGCGTTACATCATCAATTACAAAATAAACGAAATATATAAAAAGGATTAACCCTTTTTACAACACATTGGCACTCCGCTTACATTTAAAAAGCCCCATGGCCAACAATTATTAATAGATTTCAAATCTCGAGCAACTCTTTACTCTATACCTGAAAAATGATTAGTAACATGGAATGACCATAAAGATCTAGTAGAAATCCCAATAATCGTAAACAATAGCAACATATAGATAGTTATGATCATGAATGCTCCATGTATATATATACATAGGATATGTGACATTTCATATTTCAAAATATATTTACATAAATACAAATTTTCAAAATAACAAGAAACAAAGACCAATGCTTACCTTTCAAAACTTTTCATTTGCATTTAAAGAAATCTCAACCATTCATCACATTATCACGATCTCCTAAGATCGATCTAAAGAATATACTTGTACATTCCAACTCATTACGGTTACAAGGACAATTACTATATATTATGGTCTTAAGCACAAGTGTAAAATGAGCATTCACAAATATACACACACACACACACACACACATATATATATATATATATAAACAACAATAGAAGTGTCAACACGCATTACCATGTTTTACCGGTCACAAGAACGGAAAGCCAATAATGCATCCCTTCTCATCGCAACACAAGTATGAAGATACACTACGCATAATTAACACATAACGGACTCCGGCTTCGTCAAGCCATAACCACCATAACCCACTTTACCGTGTGTGAGCCAAAGGGAAGATGAACCAATTTCAAAGCGCTAAACTTTATCAGTTCTCGAGTCGGAGGAGAGATGAACCTGTTCACCCTTTACCAGGCACGAACCGGATGAGAGAGCAACCCATATCAAAATGCCAAGCTTTACCGGACGCAAATCCGGAGGGGAGAGGAACCCATATCAATGCGCACTTTCATTCAACTCAACAATTGACACATTATTCCAAGTTTTACAAATTATTCAATAACGTTAATACCATCATCTACCGATGGCCAATGATACAACCTTATAAACAACATATACCAAGTCCATGAATTCAATTTTTATCCTCTTGTTTTAGATTTTATTAACATTTATACGTTACATAACTTTTATCTTTCAACTTCAATTAATTCAACTTCCAATTCACGCAATTTTCAAAACTCTATAATTAAAGTCTCTTCCATTACTACCATCCCATCTTTATGATTCAATTTAAAATATTCAAATTTGGTTCAACAAGTAGTAATTCGTCACGAATACAATTATTCACTTGTTTTAAAGAAAAATCGTCAACTTCTCTCACTTTTCATTTCACAAAAGTATATAAATTTTGAAAATTTATTTTCTCTTCTCTCTAAACTCTCAATACCCACATCTAATCATCACATCTTTCTCATTAATTATCAAAACTCAACTAGTAATTTATTTTTTATTCAAACCATATCTCATTTAGTCAATGATATATCCTTACATGAGGGCACGTTCCCATGAATCTCCCCATGGTCGTGCAGACCATTCAAGGTTTTGCTTTCTTTCTCTTATAAATTAGAGTGAACACTGTCATACTTATTTCATATATCAAAACATCTTTTTTTTTTTTTTGTTTTTGTTTTGGAAAACAAAAGAGTTTAAGTTGAAAATGTCCAAGCCAGTTTTAGCAGGACTAGCCATTGGGCTGATCTTCATGAGCAGCTTCACAGGCCAGTGCTATGGTCAGCTGCAGGTAGGATTCTATGAAGGAAAATGTAGCGGCAAAAACGTCGAGGCCATTGTCGGCGGTGTCATTGCTGGCTGGATCAAGAAGGATCCGACTATCGTTGCCGCCCTCCTCCGCATGCAGTTCCATGATTGCTTTGTCAATGTAAGAGTTTTAGGCCGATTTACTGCAGTTTATTGGAACTGTTTATAATTTTCTTTTTTTCTTTTTCTTTTTCTTTTTTTAATTTAAAAATCTATAATAGCATTTTTAGTTCAGTTTATGAGACAAAAAAGTATAAATGAGTTAAAGAAAGTTGATAATATATATAAAAAAATTTAGAGATAATTTTTTCATCCCAAACAGTGAAGATTTTTTTGAGCTACAATTTATGAGACAAAAAAGTTTAAATGAGTTAAAGAAAGTTGATAATATATATATATATATAAATTTAGAGGTTAAATTTTTTCATCCCAAACAGTGATGATTTTATGGCTAAAAACATTAGGGCCCGTTTGTTTTGGGATTAAATAGATAGGAGGGGATTAGAATGGAGATAGGGTTATTTAGTGTTGTGTTTGTTTATAGAGTTGGAGAGGGGATTAGGATGGAGGAGGTGATATAGATGGAGGTTGGAAGGGGGATTGAGATGGAGGAGGTGGAGATGGTATTAGAAAAATAATGAGAAAATTAGAAATTTTTTTATTTTTTATATATTGGGATTTTTTTTTATAAATATTAATGTTTAATTTTTTATATTTGTTTTATTATTTTATATAAAAATAATTTAACAATTCCTGCACTTAATAACTATCATCAAAACAAACACAATTCTACTTAATCCTCTCACTATCATTCCCCTCACTAACAATCTGCTCACTATTACTCCCCTCGTTATGAATTCTCTCCATTCTATTTCTGAAAATAAACGGGACCTAGAAGACCAATTTTCAGTTATCGTGTAAATCGTTACAAAAAGATCGTTCTAAAAAGATAAAATATATATAGTGACAAGATTTTAAAAATATCGCTAATAAATATATTTTTAGAAACAAAACAATTCTGTGTCACAAGATTTTACTTTATGAGACAAAAATTGTAATCCTAAAAAGATAATAATTCATTACTAAATATCTAATTTTATCATTAAAAATATAATAATGAAATTTTTTATAACTAATATATTTTGTCTATAATAAGTGATTGTCCCTAAATTTGTTTGTTGTATTAATAAACTTGAAAAAAGATACTTCGAACTTCTATATTTTAGTTATCAAGTTTTAATTCACATAAAATTAAGATGCCTCATGAAGTAATAATTAATCAAATCAACTTCTTCTCTAATTGAAAAAACTTATTTGCACTTTAGAATAAGGATAAATTACATTTTGTTCCTTTTATATTGGCCATTGTTTCATTTTGACCCTTTAAATTTGTTTTTTCCCCATTTTGACCCTTTATTTTTATTTTTTTTCCAGTTTACTCTTGAAGCCAACTTTTTGTTTAAAATTAGAAAAAAATATCATGTTACATAACAGAAAAAGTATATTATTATATTAGAGTTTGAGTCTGTATAAGTGTCATAAATTATATTTAATAAAATATTTTTATGTCACATGATTATATTTTCCATTTTCTATCTAATTTTTTACACAAATTAGCTTTTGGAGTCTATTGAAAAAAAATTAAAATATGAAGGGTCAAAGTGAAAAAAATAAATAAACTTGAAGGGTCAAAATGAGAAAATGACCAAACATAAAAGGAGCAAAGTATAATTTACCCTTAGAATAATAATAAAAAAGTTATTTAAGAAAAGAAATATATATATATAACTCAATTTAAAAAGCGTTAACCGTTTAGTTTAGAAAAAATGCTACAATGTGTACCCTTAAAAAAGTTAACATTTTTTAGTGTAATAGTCATGCATTAACGATATAAAATATCAAAATTTCATTTTTTATTTTTTTTATCAACAAAATACCATATGTTGTGGTTGTTTTGATTATGCTAGCTTAAAAAAAAAATGTCAAATCCAATTTTAAAGGTGCTAACTCTTGCATAGAAATGACAGTGGGCTGGGGCAGGGTCGGAGATTACACTTCCTGTTTTTGATCCCCGAAGGTATAAAATTTTCCATCCTCGCTCTCCATTCCCAGTGAGGAACCCATCACTCCCCCCTTGCCCCCTAACGGGAATCAGGTTTCCCTGACCTCGAAAAATCCCCGTACAAAAACAACAAAATCATCAACAACCAAAATAACTACAATTACACATAAACATACATACACACATACACATACACAATAGATCAACTACAAAAAAAAAAAAACATAGAGACAGATAGAGACACACACATACATACATGTATACATACACACACACATGAGATCTGAGTGTGTATCATCAACACGGATTTGAGATCTCTTTGTGTCATCAAACAAATCTAAGATCTGTGTATTTGAGTGTGTGTCAGAGAGAGAGAGAGAGAGAGAGAGAGAGAGAGAGAGATCTAAGTAAAGAGATTATGCGGTGTATCGGCGGCGATAGACGATGGAGGAGGAGGACGTGAGGTGTGAGAGAAAGTGAATCAACGCTGGCAACGTTTGTAACTTCTGTTGACATTTACTCATATCTGTCGTAGCGGAGGGAAACGACGTCGAAGTATGGAGGTTTGGCGACTCTAGCATTATGGCAGTAGCCGTGGCATGAAGGAGAAGGCGACAGTGATTGCGTTGCTGCGAAGAGATGAGAGAGAGTAAAAGGAAAAGAGAGAGAGTGACAGAGGGGTATAATAGAGGGGAATATACATGAATAGATAGAGGGGTATAATAATAATTTCAGTTTAGGAAAACGGGGATGGGGCTGGGGAACATATCACCCTCCCCAGCCCGAAAATTGTCCGGAATTCATTTTCGAATACCATCTCTGGCCCGTCGGGGTATTTTTCGGAGAAAAACCGTTCTAATCGGGGTCGGGGGGCCGGTCCCCGTCGGATCGGGTTCAAATTGCCATCCCTACTCTTGCATTAATGGGACTGCTTTAGTTGTTTTGATTTTTTTTTTTCTTTTTCTTTTTCTCTCTTTTGTTTTGAATGGAATATGTGAGCTGATATTGATCTTTGCTATGTAAAGGGATGTGATGCATCAATCCTACTAGATGGTAGCAACAGTGAGAAAACAGCATTCCCAAATCTAAGTGTGAGGGGCTTTGACATAATTGATGCTGCAAAGGCTGCTGTGGAGGCTGTATGCCCGGGAGTAGTCTCTTGTGCTGACATCATTGTTATGGCTACCAGAGATGCAGTATCTTTGGTGAGTACCCTCTCTCTCTCTCTCTCTCTCTCTCTTATATAGAATTATACATGGTTTAAATAACAGCATTATAATACGTATTAGTATCATCGGTGATGCGATTATATATTGGTGGTATCATAAGTCTAACTCATGATCATTATATTTAGCAATAATAGTAATCACAATTTCACAATGGTGATATTGAGTTTTTTACAGTCTTGGCAACTCTTTGCCTTCACTGTCTTCAAGCCGATATGCCCCATTGCCCAGGACCGAGATGATTTTATAAGGTCCCTCCCAGTTTGGGCCAAGCTTGCCTTCTCTGGCTCTTTGCCGACGTCCTCCAGGACTTCCATGTCTTCGTCCTCGATCTCTGTTGTTTCTAGTTCTCGTATGTTGCAGGTAGATTTCATTGCTGCCATGGAGCAATTCTTTGCCTGCACCTGATCCCCTCTGACCTCCTCTATTCCATGCTCTGTTGGGAACCGCAATAGCTGATGCAACGTGGAGGGAACAACCTCATTGCATGCAGCCATGGCCTTTCCAGGATAGCATTGTATGGGAAGGGGGTGTCGATTATAGTAAACTCTATTTTTATCTTCTTGGTGCCAGCCTGTACCTCCAAACTTACTGCCCCTAGGGGCCATGTCGGCGTTCCATTCAACCCGACCATTGGACCATTAGATTGCTCCATATCATTTTGATGAAGGCCAAGCTCCTTGAAACATCTGACATACATGATGTCATAAGAGCTACCCTGGTCAATTAAGATGCGCCTTACATGGCATTCTCCAATTTAGAGGGATCTTACCGAGTCATCGTTTTGTGAATGTTGTACCATCTCTAGGTCACCTTCAGTAAAGGACACCACTGGTCCTTGGCACTCGTCTGCCCTAGGTCTTTTTCTGCCAAACCTGGTACATATGCTGCAAGTGTTTTACCTTCTGAGTCTCCCCACGTATTCCGTTCTCATTAACCTTTGAGTGAATCACATTGATCACTCGAGTTCCGTCTGCTTGCGGTTCTGGAAGAGGTGGTGCTGCCGGTGCCAGAGGCAGTCTTGCTTGCTTTTCCCTTGTCCTGGCCTCGTCTATAAGGTCCCTTAAATGACCTTGTCTTACCAGGTCTTCCAAATGTGCCTTTAGGGCTCTACACCCCTGAGTCAGATGCCCATCTTCGTTGTGGTAAGCATAGTGCTTACCAAGGCTTCTTCCCATAAATTCACCCGAAACCCTTACTGGTGCTCTGTAATAGGGTTGATTTCAGATTTTCTACAAGACTTTGTAGACTGGGACTCAAAATACGGTTGTGACTACCTGTGCAGCCCTTAATCCTGTCTCTTTCTTGTTGTATCCACCATTACCTTAGCCTTACTTCGGCGAGCCATTTCCCTTCTCTTGTTTCAACGCCCTTGTCCCCAGCGTGTCTTCTTCGGCCCTTGCATACTTCTCAATCCTGGCCATTAGTTCTTCCATAATTTTTGGCAGTGTCTTTGCCAATGATTTTCGAAGCAAACAATCATCTTTCAGGCCGTTCTTAAAAGACACGACTGCCATCTCTTGGTTACATCCTGGTATCCGGTTAAATACCTCATAATACCTCTTGGCATAGGTTCTAAGGCTTTCATCCTCACTAATTCTCAGAGCTATCAAGGAGTCCAACCTTAATGGCTGTAGCTTGTTTGTCACAAACCTAGCCACAAACATCTCGGCCAGGCCTTCCCAGGTCTTCACAGTTCCTTTCGGCAACTTGTGAAACCAGTCTGATGCAATTTCCCCGAAGGACGAGGGAAACACCTTGAAAAGCAACGGCTCGTTCTCGGTGTATAATGTCATCGAGTTCAGGTATAAGCCGACGTGAAAGTTGGGGTCTGACTTACCGTCGTATATCTAGAATCTCGGCATACTGAACCTTTTGCGGGGCCTCAAATTTGTCCAACTTTAACGAGAATGGAGTTCTCGGCTTAACTGGGGAGGTTACCTTGGCATCGTGTTGCTTCCTCTAGATGTAATCCCTCAGATCCTCCTTGGTCCGCCCAGGAGCTCAGCTATCTCCGGATTTCAGTCTTTTCGGTGCACTACTTGCGATGTCATTGCGAGTCCTCTTAGACCTCTCTCCGTTAGTTGCGTCAAAACAGAGCTCCTTCCCTTGAACATGCCGATGTTCTTTGGGGTCATCCTCCTTGGTACGATGCGTCCTCCATGAATCTCCTTTTATTAACTCTCCTCTCCTGGCCTCCCTTGAAGGCTAGTGAGAGTATTCCTTGGTTCTGACGTGTTGGGGGGCTACAGGGATTGTTTTCTACCCTCCCTTTTGGGCATTGTTCTTGGCCGCTAGAATCGGCGTGTCTTATAACGGGAACGGTGGCTGCATGACGTTGTTCTGCATCATGAAATTGACGACCGTTTGTAGATCCGCCAATTTGTCTGCCATTCCCTTCATCTTTGTGTCCCTCTACGGGAATCTATCTTTCCATACCTGGAGGTCATTCTCGTTATAATACCTACTTCAGTCTGATTTCTTTGATACGTCGCCCTCCTGGCCGACGTCTTTATCTCCATAATTCTTATTATAAGTCTTTTCGTTGCAGTTGTCTTTCTCGACGTCAAGGTCAATATGTTTACCACTCCCAGTAGGGATATCGTCTCCAACCTTTTCTTTCTGTCCGTCATTGGCCATCTAGTCTTCTTTCTTTCCCACAGACGGCGCCAAATTGTGTGAGTGATTTTCTGATCACACTGCCCGCTTAGTAACCAGCTGGAGAGCACCGACAGAATAGATGACACCTGGCTGACCTGCAACAGAAAGAGAAGATTCCGGCGGTGGTTCTTCCACCCGGGGGCACTCCGATGATCAAGTCAGTATATCTCTCAAAGATAAATCAATTATCCAACTCACAAGTTTGAGTATCAAAAAGCATAAAATTGCGTACCTTAGACTCACGGAGGTGCCTTTCTTTTATAGCCAACATAAACCTAGTCCCAATAGAAGTCTAACTTCTATAGACTCAGGATTACTGCTAATCTTGGACTCCCAGTGAGATTAGGATAAACTCTCTAAGAGTCTTATTTTAATACAAACTGAAGTCTTTTCTTATTCTAGGACTCTTGTCCCTCATCCAGGTTGAGTTCCCTTTTCATTCTAGGACTCTTATCTCTTATACATTTATCTCGGATTCCGATATCTTCGGAGATAACCTCGACCTTGCCGAGATCACCTTGGCGTCACGACCATGACACGTGGCACCTCGGCTAACACGTCGGCGTCACCTTGCCGCGTGTTGGTACTCAGAAAATATATCCCCATACAAACTATGAAATATAATTGGCTTAGTTCTCGTTTGGTTTTTGTTTTAGGGCTAAAAAAATATAAAATAAAACAAAATATCATATTTAAATCATAATTATTATATTTTTTTCTCAAAAAAATAAAAAAAAAAAATCTAAAAATAAAAACCAAACAATAATAAAAAAGTCAGCCTAAAAAAATCCAAATATAAAAAGTTAGCTACTGTAGCCAATGCCAAACGAAGCTTTGGCCTTTTTTGAGAAGTTGGTTATTTTAATTTTTTGACTATTTTAATAGACTAAAATTTTATATTTGAAAAGATAATTAAATTTTCTGATAATTTGATGTAATTTTTGTGAAAAAAAAAATTATAAATTTAATATAATATTTTATATTATTAACTATTTTAACTTATTTAACCTTTTATAAAATTAAACCTGAAAAGTCCAATTTTAGCCTTTAAAAGGCCTTTATTAAATGGAATCATGCATTGAAAAATTCGATTTTCTTTAGCGAGGGAAACGGATTCTTTTTCAATTTTCGTTTTCAAAACATTTTTGGTTGTTGATAAGAGAGCGGTCGAGCTTCCCGGTGACTCTGTCTTTAATTTTTTCATATTCCAAAGAACACCAATCCCTATGACAAGCCCTATAACAACAACACTAATCCCACCCTAATGTTTGGGACCTGAACTCAAGCCCTATAACAAGAAGAAGAAGAGATTTGCTTGCCTATTGCTATGTCAGACTTTTTTCCAGACGAAATCATGGTTGAAATCCTCCAGAGACTACCCGCCAAATCCCTAATCAAATTCAGGTCTGTTTCCAAATCCTGGTGCTCTCTCATCACAAACCCTAATTTCATCAATACCCACCTCAATCACTCACTCACTTTCAATACTTACAAAAACAGCTATGATAATCTCCCACTCATGATAGTTAGGCAATGCGTATCCACTACCCATACCAGAACAGAGCACTACAAACTATTTATTGATTCCGAAGACTCATTTGATGAATATAAAGAACTTGAATCCCCAATAAAGAGTCGTCGTCTCCACTTTTTTTTCGCAATTGGGTCTGTAAAAGGTTTGTTTTGTCTTCACGAACAAGATCGGCATTTTCTTTGGAACCCATCTATTAGAAAGTCCATGGCTATGCCCAAGCCTACTGTCAAGACCTCTATGCATTCTCATGGGTTTGGATTTGATCCACGGACCAACGATTATAAATTGGTTAGAATAGCGGACTTTTATCCAACTAAATTGCCCAATCAAAAGCCAACTACACACATTGAGGTGTACTCCCTTAATGCGGGCTCCTGGAAAATGTCTAGCAGGGGGAGAAACTCTTATCTGGATGGGATTACTATAGATTATTCAGGCCGATTCGCTGCTTATTTAGAAGGGGCTGTTCATTTTGCTGCGAAAATGAAGAAATCCAATGATCCGTTGATTTTGTCATTTGATTTGTGTGATGAGGTGTTTCAAACGATGATGTTACCAGATGGTGTTGTAGCCCCGAGAACTGAGGTCCGGGCTTCAGTATTTGGGGGATTGCTTTCTCTGTTATGTTACGAAGATAGTGCTGCGTACAAGTCTTGTTCCATTTGGATAATGAAAAAGTATGGTGTCGTTGATTCTTTGTATAACCAGTTCACAATTGATCTAAGCAGCGGAATTACACAGGTATTACGTATACGGAATAATGGTCATATATTATTGGAGACAAAAGCACCAAGTGATTGGGTGCTTTCTTCATATGCCCCTTCGAGCCAACAAACTAAGAATTGGGAATTTATGCTACTTCAAACCATTTTGTTGTTGA